AGTTTGTTTACTCCACGTAGTAAAGTTAGTATTAATAAATGGGTTATATGATCATATTATGGTAATTAATCTTATATCAAGAATTAGTAAAGGCCTATCTTTCATTAGGTGAGTAGGAGTGCTTAATTCATGACCTTCTCCCCTCATACCTAAACTTGTGGAGTAAATCCTTTGGTTGTGATAGGCAGTGGCCTATATTGGTAGGAGCCAAGGTTTCTTAGTTTCCCCCACTGCAACAAAAAGCAGTTTTGGCGACCAAAAATGTAAATTTCGTCGCTGAAAGTAGGACAATTGGCGACTAAAATTGAATTAGTAGCCAAAAGTCTTCATTTTTGGCGACTAAAACAGTTTAGTAGCCAAATGTGTACTTATTGGCGACTAAAAATCAAATTAGTCGCTGATTACATGGGTTTTAGCAACTAAAACAATTTTAGTAGCCAAAGGTGAAGGTTTTTGGCGACTAAAAAAGATTAGTAGCCAAAAGTATAGGCTTTGGCGACTAAAAAAATGGTTTGGTCGCCGATTGTAAGCGTTTTACCGACAAAAAAAATTGTTGTAGCCAAATGTAAAGGTTTTTGGCTACTAAAGAATTTTTAGTAGCTAAAAGTGGACAATTGGCGACTAAAATTGAGTTTAGTCGGCAAAAGTGGCAGTTTTGGCAACTAAAAATCAATTTAGTCGCCGAAAGTGGTTATTTTTAAACGGAAATTAATTTTTTTAGCGACTAAATTATTGGTAGTAGCCAAAACTAAGGTTTTTGGCGACTAAAAAAAACTTTAGTCGCCAAAAGTGGCTCCCTTTTTTTTTTAATAATTAATTTATTTTTTACATAAATTAATATTGAATAAAAATAATTATATATATATATATAGTTTTAAATTAATACGGGTCAATATACTATATAAATAATATATATTGCATATATATTCATGTGATCTTGTGGGGGCATAGTGGAGGGAGTGTGTTGGTAAAGGTGTACAAAGTAGAAGGTCCGTGATTCGAATCTTAGAAAAAGTAAAAAAGTTGGTAATTTTTTTTTTTCACGGAAGCACCTTTTGCGACTAAAATTATTAGTCGCCAAAAGTCTTTATTTTGGCGACTAAATGGATTAGTCGGCGATTCAGTGAGTATTGTTGACTAAAGGATTCGTCGCTAAATGTATGATTTTGAAAAGTGTAAATCACTATTGGCGACTAAAATGTTGGTCACGAAAGAGCTGCTTTTTGGCGACTAAAAAAGTTTTAGTCGCCAATACCTCTGCCGACCATCTATACGCGACAAAACCAACGACTAAAAAAATTAGTTGGGGAAAGTAAAAAGTTAATTTTTGGCGACTAAAAACGGACTTTTGACGACTAAAAATTTAGTCGCCAAAGATAATTTTTCTTGTAGTGCCCATAAAGATTAGGTGGCAACTCCATACCCCGTGATTGGTCTATTTTTACCACTTCCGTTTGATTAATGGATTTTCAACCCATATGCTATATTAGTGCATTCAATGGTAAGTCAAGTTTGTTGGATATAAAATTATGACCCTTATTTTTCATACTAATTGATTGTAAATACATTTCATTGGAGATTGACCAAAATTTTTAATGTGACTTTCCAAGTTTTCCAAATAGTTTTGTACACATATCTCATAAAGGAAAGATTTCACGAATTCAGACCCAAGAGTCTTCTGGGGATATTATTAAGTTCTCATTATACTTTTGACCTCATAAATTTGATTTAATTAGTCAATTGGGTCAGTAATAATGATTGTTACCATATTATCTCTAACAAGAAATAATTTGTTCACACAGAGGTAGAATATGTGAACAATTCACAATATCTCGTTAGTGTAAAATTAATTAAAATGTGTGTGGTTCATGGATGTTGTCAGGTGTGTGAACAAAATTGTACTCATCTCTAATATGCCCATAACAAGACATTATGCGGATAAAAAATTACAATAAATTTAAAGTATAGTAGTAGGCTTGAAATTTAAATTTGGATAATTAATAGTATGACATAGCATGAAAAATGCAAGCATGACATCTGAAAGTGAGAAAAGGGAGAGGAGTTGGTTTGAATGTTTCACTATCATTCTTCATTTAAAATTGGAGCCAAAGAAAACAAGACTAGCTTTAGAAGATTAAAAAAGATTTGCTAAAATGAACACACTAAAAAAGGGAAAACAAAAAAAATAAAAACAATAAAAATAAGAAGAAGAAAAAGAAGAAGAAGAAGACGAAAAAGCTATAGATAAGGTTTTGAATAATTACATCTTAGGAAAAAAATTTCAAGCCTAAGAAAGCTTCTTAATTAATCGACAATGACATGCCATTGTGAGTTAATTATGTGTTCTAAATTATGCATCTTTAGTATTCTTCATAAGTTCAGCGCATCAGGTTTCACATCGAAAAGATGTCCCACATTTTAATAACTCATATGTTTAAATTGGATGAATAATTGTTATATTAATTAGTTGAAAAAGAAGTTAAGAGACCAACAATTATATACAAGCCTTAGATCTCACATCAAGTGATGATAGGGCCCACAAAGACTTGCGAGTGTTTTATATGTTTTTATATATAAAATTTGATTATTGGCTTTACCGGTATAATATGATCAACAATGATTCATCCCACTAAAAACATCACCACTAATAGCACTAATGCATTAAAAAAGTAAAAAAAAAAAAAAAAAAACAACTCCAAGACCAAAACATCACATCATTAATGACGGGACCCACTGCCACCTAATTAGTGGGAGCACTAATTAGTGCTCCCAAGCATTTTTCATAATATGATATTGTCTCTGCCCCAAATTGTTTTATTTTTATTATTTCGGACATCTAAAAAAGTTACAACATTTTGTAATTTATTTTATTCAATGATTTAGAAAATTGATCTACAAGAATGAATTGAGATTTTTTAATTTGCAATTTTTTCTAATATTTATTTACGAAAATACATTATTTATTAACTTGATGACATGTCGAAAATAGACAAACAATTGGAAATGCAGGAAGTAATATAGATGTGTTAAAAAAAAACCTTCAATTGATGTATTGCAATATATATATAAAGACTAAATTAGTTTCGAAAAGCATTGTCAATATAGTGTTTGCAAAAAAAAAAAAAAAATTCTTTTACTTAAAATATAGGACAAATTATACTAGTAGTTCTTGTAGTTTGCTTTTTGTGCCTTGTAGTTATGATTGCATCAATTCTAGACTTCGATTTTTCATATTATGTTGATTTAGTTCAATTGATAACACCCTTTCAGAAATTGGATTGAAGCAAGAAGCGAAATGATCCATTCATTCTTTTGAGAGATTGACGTCCAGTTCAAAAATGGTTAATTTCCTTTGGAATTGACCATTTTGCCCATAATTTTTGTTTATTTCTAAACAAATGTCATTAATTAAATTAAATTGGCATAATTTAATTTGAAATTGGTATAATTGGAGCTATAGAGACCAAAGTGATACAAAAGGCAAATTGTAAAATTACAAGCGTAATTTGCTCTAAAATTTAACTTTCATTTCCAGAAGCCGAAAAAAAAAAAAACCAATTTAAAATTAAAAAAACCTACGACATAACATGGAAAAAAAAAAGAAGAAAAAAAAAAAAAGAAGAAAAAGAAGAAGAAGTTGAGCCACCTCTACATTTTTTCAATAGCTTTTGTTGCAGTTACAAACAAAATTATCAAATATTTTATTTATTACTTACAACACACATGTGAGTCCTACGCACAAATGAGTAGTTGATAGAATAATTAGCAATTTAATTTGTATCTCTATTTTTTTTTTCCCCCAATAATTAAAAAGATATGACAGGAGCTATTCAATGTTTTAAGTAAAGCTTTTAAGCGACAGTGTAATTTTCATACTATACAATTTAATAATAACTAAGTAACATTTTTGTTGTTGAAAATGTTTGTATTATCTTTTAGTACGAATTACATTAACGGTCCTTATAATTTGGGACTTGTGTCACTTTGATCTCTGACTTTTTAATGGTAACACATTTTACTCTAAATTTTGAATATTGTTCCAAATAAAGACAATTGAAGATACCATTACTCAATTTCAATGACAAAATCGTCAATTTGATAAAATATAAACGAAGTTGATAAAAATAAATGTCAATTTTTTTTTTTGGATTTTAAAAATTATTTCTACTTATCGAAGATAAAAATTATTTAAAATTGATAAATATTTTACACATTTATTTTTTTTTACCAAATTAATTTCTATTATGTGTTTGGATAATGATCATGTAATGAATGATTGTTAAAATTTTAATGTGTAATTGATATACAGTATTTAATATATAAAATATTTTTAGTTTTGGATTTTTTGATTTAATAGATTAATTTAATAATGATATAAAAGTTGTTGTCATATTTGACTTTTGAAAAAATAAAAACTAATTTAATGAAAATAAAAATAAGCACCCATTATATGATCATCATCCAAAAACATAATAAAAATTAATTTGGTAAAAAAAAATTAAATGTGTAAAAGATTTATCAATTTTACATAATTTTATCTTTGGTGAGTATAAATAATTTTTTTTAAATTCAAAAATATCTTTTTGACATTTATTTTTATGAAATTAGTTTATATTTTATCAAATTGACTATTTTGCTCTTGAAATTAATCCATAGTATCTTCAATTATTCTTATTTGGAACAAAATTTAAAATTCAGGACCAAATATGTTAGAATTAAAAAGTCAGAGACTAAAGTAACACAATCCCTAAATTATAAGGACTTTTTATTTCTTAATAAGGAAGTAAAGTTATACCTTTGAATTCTTTATATGGAAGTGAGTCGAATATGGATGGGCAACTCCAGGAAATCTAATGGTAATACTTTTTGTTGTAATTCTCATATTTCACCTCCTTTTATATATATATATATATATATATGTAAAACCAAAACTATGGAAAAGCCAATAATTCATTTCCTTTGCTTTGCTGTGTTGCTTTCTTAAAAAAGCATATTTGACTATGGAGAGCAGCAAAAAGCAAACAAAGGGTCGCCAAAGAATTGACACTTCAAGGAGACGTGAGAGTGAAGAAGATCGCCTCATAACATTCTCCAAACGTCGAAGTGGTCTTTACAAGAAGGCCAGTGAGCTTTGTGCTCTTTGTAATACAGAGCTTGTTGTGCTCATGTTTTCTCCTTCTGGCAAACCTTTCTCATTTGCTCACCCTAATATTGATGTCATTGCAAGGCGTTTCTTGAAACTCCCACAAGAAGATGTCACTGGTGGAATTATCAATGCTCGTCTTAGGAATAGGATCAATGAGCTCAACGAACGACTCACTCAGCTTGGTGATGAAGCACAAGCCGAAAAGGAACGTGGACAAATGCTATCCCATATGGCAAAAGTGCGTCCAAACAAGCCTTTATGTGATGCAAACATTGATGAACTTAGCGACAATGATGCTGGTATGTTGAAAGCTTGGCTACTTGAGTTGCAGGATCGGATTCATAATCGATTCGAAGAGTTAGCTGCTAATGCTACTGCTTATGCTGGTGCACCTGCAAGCCTAGTTGATGATACCAATGTTGCTTCTTCTAGACAGGGCCATGGGGGCATGCATTTTTAAAATATATCGACTGAATTAAACAAGGTTTTCATTACCATTAAAATACAATTTAGATTAAGTTTGTGTGTCGTTATGTAATATAACAAAATGTGAGAATGAATCTAATGCATTCTTCTATACTTGTTATAGGAAAAATCCATTAAGTGCTTGATCTATTTATCTCCGCCATGCATGTGTACCACTGACATCTTAGTTTTCCTTGTGGTTCATCTTCTTTTTCCTAACTTGATGTAAAAGCATTTTAACCACCGAAATTTCTTTCATCCAGTGTCAATATTAATATCCAGTTTCATAATCCTTAAGATTATTTTTTGCACTTCAAGGCGGCACTTTCAATTTTTAACCTCTTTACTCAACTATTTTACTTGCGATATTTTATGACACAAGACCACTTATCCTTAAATCTCTACCTACTCTATATTGCAAGTTCTTCTCCACAACATGATGTAGCATTCCTAAATTAAAAATCAATTAATCTGTCATATCGTGCAACATAGAAGGGCCCGAGGGAACAAGGATATAGAGATTAAAGTTTTATATACAAATTTCAGAAGTTGGTTAAAGGAATCTTTCACGGGTGCTATGTGCAATGTTTAAGGTTCAAGTAAGGATCCTCGGTCGCTCTTTCCTGCAGCTCTCCCTGCCACCCTCGCCAAAACGACGTTGTTTTAGTTAGTGTTTTTTTTATTTTTTTATTTTTATTTTTTTTTGAAACCCAAAATTTGAGTTTCATCTTCCTTTGATATGTTATGTTTAGCCCTAACATCATCAACGAGTACAGAGAGAGAGAGCGAGAGACAGAGAGAGTAGAGGCATCCATCCTGCAAAATGAAGAGATCAAAACACAAGTGAATTAGTCATTGATAGATTTATGCTATGTTTGGGTCTTAGAACTTGTTTAGTTTCTACTATTCATTAATTTTTTCATTTCATTCTCTGTTTCATTCACAAACCCCTCTACAAAAAAATTATTTAAACATTTTTAGGAGACTTGGAACAACTTTTAAGTACAAAACAAAAACACAAATAAATTAACTCACATATATTGAGTTCTTGTATGGTTCCCTTTTTGCTGGTGTACTGCTACTGAATTTAAAGAGTGGGATTGAGAGCAAATGTAAGCTCAATGATAGAAGCATCTGTAAACACATTTAAAACAAAAATTAAATTCATAATTTTAATCGAGTGAAGAAAATATATAAATTTAAAAAACTGTTGATCAAAAATCAAACTGGTGTGATGATGAAGAAGATGCGCTGACCAGTTCCAAATCTGTGTTCGTCTCTCGCCGCCTCCACTCGCCTCACCGCTATCTCTCCGTCTTCGTCTCTCACCGCCTCGCGTTCGTCGCCTCTCCCATTCGATGATCTGTTTAGCAGTTAATTCGTTTCTCTCAAAAGGGCTAGGGCTTAACAACCAAAAGGGGACAAAAATAAGAGGGCGAAAAAAATAGTCAAAGTCACGTCATTTTGACACGCTGCAGGGAGGGCCGCAGAGAAGTGCGGCCAAGGATCCGGACTCTTAAGGTTCTCTCTTGTAATTGTACTTCTTCGTGTGAGATTTCAATTACTTGTGAGATACAAAATTAATCGTTAAGTAAATTTTTTACGTTGATGGTCATATTAAATTTATTTTATTTTTTAACTTCTGTAATGTTTAAAGTTGCTAATATATTATCAATGGCCAAATTGGAAAAAATAGTTTTATGCTAACTTTAATGTAAAATTCAAGTAGATCACGACCACCGGTTAAGGTGGGATCAAATGGGTTTAGATTCTTTGAAACAAGATTTTTACATAACAAAAAAAAAAAAAGACCAAAAACATTAAGAATTGAATGAGAAATTGCCTCATAAAGTTGGCCTCATGAATAAGGTATTGTGAATTATGTATAACTACTAATCCCATATTGCTTGTAAAGGAGAGTATTAATTGGTATTAAAACCTCAAGATTTTGATAAGAGCATTGTCATGAACCTAATCCGCCCCTATAGATTACAATCATAACGGACCAGTAATTATAAGATTACCTACGGCCTCAGACATAAATCCATTAAAAAAAATTAGCAATATGGGGCTAGATACGAAAGCAAAACTTTAAATTTTGTCCAATGAGCTATGCATACATGGCATAACAAAACTTTTCACATATGTATATAATAACTCACACAATAGATAATTAATGAGTTCCTGTTTCCAGGACCATCCAAACGTTTCTTCACATGTAATTTAAAGCTTACGATATTTACATATATGGTCAAGCGACCAACAAAAGTAACAAGAAATCAAAAGATGAAAGGAATAAAACAAAAGCCTTTTGCGTGAGGCGTCTTGGGCTAACTCCACAAAACTGGATACTCTTTCACAATTTCACTAGTGCTGCGGCTAGACATCCCGCTGCTCACCTACATACATAGAGATAAAGAATTAGTTAATGCCCAATGAATAATACTAGAATAAGAAGGTTATATGAATGAGACTCTTAAATAGGTAAATCATACTCGTGAGTAACACATATTGATCATTATCAAACAAAATGATCTCAAGTCCATTCCTTATGCTCAAGGCATATCAAGGGGCAAAACAGCCTTAGGTCCAAATATTATTCATATTCTTGTTCATGCGCATATTCAAATTCAAGATCATATTCACAATTAACGGATGCATACAAAAATGACCATCCGGCCTTTAACATCACATGTACAAAACGACCTCAGGTCCATTATTTCCATATTCATATTCACGCGAGTGGTTATAATCATGATCATGTTCACATTCGTATTTGTATTCACATTCAAAATGACTTTTGGTCCGTAGTCACGATCATGTTCTCATGCATATTCATCTTCAAAATGACCTTTGGTCCAATCAATTCGTTATTCAATATGACCTTTTGTCCATTTAGCAAACATACAAAACAACCTTCAGTCCATTTCATATATAAGATGATCTTAGGTCCATCTTGTCAAACATTCTAAACGGCCTTAGGCCCATTCCGTGTTCTTATCAAATATACCAAATGGCCTTGGGCCCATTTCATATTCTCATCAAACATACCAAACGGCCTTAGGCCCATTTTGTATTTGTACAAAACGGCCTTCGGTCCAATCTTATAGGTTCGTGCTTATCAATCACTTTTCCAAGCCATTTATGAATTAGACAGGTAGAATACTTATTCATAATACAAATTCATGAGTTCAGAAAGCTTACCACATAGGTAGTATTTAAAAACTAACATACATGAAAATATCTTTACTAAGATATTACTCACAGTGTTCAATTGGTTGATTCGTCCTTAGAGTTGAACCTACGCAATTCGTAACACATACAGGAATTGGGTCACAATACAATTCAATCCGTTCTCAAATTCATTTATCTTTTCTTAGGCTTCTTTCTAACTCTATAGTTCATTTAGGATGCTCAATGTATGCCTAAGAATGCTCAGAAATGAAAAAAATGGAAATTGGAACATAATACAACTTTTCAAAGTTTCCTGAAACAGGATACTTCGCTCGAGTGCAACATTGGTCGCTCAAGTGAACCCCTTGCTCTGCAAAAGTACTGGATGCTCTCATTTTATACTCGAGCCAACTTCTTGGTCGCTCGAGCAGTCTTTTGATCGCTCAAGCCAACCTCCAATGTCTGCAAAAGTACTGGGAGCTCGAAATGTACACTCGAGTGACAATTCCAACGCTCGAGCGAACTGCTCGGATTCTGGAATTTCTAAAATTCTGTTTGAGCTTCAAAACACAACTCCAGCGCTCCAAATTCAAATATGACATACTCTTGACTTCATGTACTCATTACTAAACATAAACATTAGCTTAAACTACACAAATCAAAGTCCAATCTGTGGAATTCACTATGCATGTCCCATTTTGGTCTAATTTCCTTTCTAAGACTTTATATACATGAAATTATAGTTCATAGCCTCATGAAATATGCATGCATGATCAAAATGACCTTTCTTTTGACTTAACCAACATAGACTAAACTCTATAATGAGATTTCACAATGATCTCTTACATGCATGAATGAATTAATCTTCAATTCTTCATTCCAGACTTAATTCATGCATTGCATTTCATTATCTTCTTGAATTCATATAGTTATGAACTTAAACTCACAAATTATGTTTCAAAAACTCACCTAGAGCCTTGCTTATGGCTTGATTATGGAAAATCTTAACTCTTTCTCCTTGATTCTTCAATTCTCTAGTCAATTCTTTCCAAGATTGAGTCCCTTCTCTCTAGAACTCATTCTTCTCTATCTATATGCTCTCCTCCAGCAAGTTTGATTTGAAGGGAAGAGCTCAATTATATGAGCCTAAACACTAGTTAGTCATATATATATAGTAGGTGATTAGCTTAGGTTAATTAAGTTTGATTTAGGCTAATCAATTCTACTTGATTCTAATGAATTTAATCTAATTATTTTGATCCAAATCAATTTTTATTTAAAATTCACCGTAAGCTCTAAAAATTATGGTAATCACAATGGTATAGTCAATTTTGGTTTATGTCACCTCTACGACCCTCAATTTTAGTCAATTACAGAATACCAAATACATTTTCCTACGATGAATAGATATGAATTCAAAAACATACATAATCGCATGATTAGCATCCAAAATCACATTAAGCACATGATCACAAGTATAAATAAGAATTAGCGACATAACACAGAGCGGGGCTATCACAATCTTCTCCCCTTTAGGAAGTTTGGTCTTTCAAACTTATGTTACCTTCAGTTAGAAACAAATGTGGATAGCGTTGTCGCATTTTATCTTCCTTTTCCCACATGGCTTCCCTTCCATAGTGCTCTTTCCATTCCACTTTCACTATTGGAATTGATTTGTTTCTTAGTTATTTCACTTGTCAGTCAATAATCTGTTCTTGCCATTCTTTATATTTCATACTGTCATCGAGGGCTATTCCTTGATAATCAATCATGTGGAATGGATCTTGGAGATAGCCCCTTAACATTAACATGTGGAATACTTTGTGTATTTGTTCCATTCCTGGTGGTAGAGCAACTCTATAAGCAATTGGACCAAGTCTTTCTAGAATTTGAAACGGTCCAATATAACGGGGTGACAACTTACCCTTCTTGCCAAATCTCGATTGGCCTTTCAATGAAATTACACGGATGAACATATGATCAACAACCTCGTATTCAAGAGACCTACTTCTGACATTTGCCTAACTCTTTTGTCGGCTCTGAGCTGTCTTGAGCCTTTGTTGAATAACTTTGATCTTTTCGATGGTGATTTGCACAATTCCAGGCCGAAGCAAGACTCTATCCCTAACTTCTGTCCATCCGACGATGATCTGCATTTTCTGCCCTATAAGGCTTCAAATGCTGCCATGCCAATGCTAGAGTGGTAGCTGTTATTATATGCAAATTCTGCCAATGGTAAGTAATCTTCCTAACTCCCCTGAAAATCTAAGGCACACATTCTGAGCATATCTTCCAAAGTCTATGGGTATGTTTGGTTTGAGTTTGGGAGATGAGTTTTAGAGATAAAAAGTACGAAAAGTTGTTTGGTTTGGTTTTTTTCAAAAGATGTTTTGGAAAATTATTTTGAGAGAGAGTTTTGGAAAGAGTGATTGATTTGATGTGTATGAGAGAGAGATTTGTTTGGAAAACTTGTAAACCAAACAAGTTTTGGGAATTTTTTTTGAGAAAATTTGTTTGGTTTGATTACTTTTGAAAATTTATTTGTAGAGAATTTTTTCCAAAAATTTTTGAGAAACACAAACCAAACAAGGCCTATATAGTCCGTTCTGATTGCCTATTTGTTTGTGGATGGAACGCTATGCTAAGTCTCAATTCCATCCCATCACTCTCTGTAGACTTCTCCAGAATCTAGATAGAAATTTCGGATCTCTATCCAACACAATAGATACCGGCACTATTAAACAGACAATTTCGTCAACATATATAGTGGCAAGTCTATAGGCATCATAAGTAGTTCTTACAGGAAGAAAATGTGCAGATTTAGTCAGTCTATCAACTATAACCCAGATAGAATTCATACCTCTCGGGGTCCGAGTAGACTAACAATAAAATCCATGGTTATATGCTTCCATTTCCATTCCGGAATAGGGAGAGGTTGAAGTAGACCTACTGATTTTTAGTGTTCAACTTTAACTTGCTGACACTGAAGACATTTAGACACATATTTTGAAATTTCTCATTTCATATTAGGCCACCAATAACTTTGTTTCAAATCTCGATACATCTTGTTGTTGCTCGGATGCATTGCAAGCATTGACTTGTGGGCTTCATCCAATATTCTCTTCTTTAAATCAGAGATGTTCAAAACACACAATCTATTTTGGAATTTCAACACCTCATTCTCCACACTAAACTCCGCTCTCGAATTCATTTCGAACTCATCAATTATCTTCTTGAGGAACTTATCCTCCTTTTGTTTCTATTTGATGTCATCAAGTATTGTCGATTCAGCTAATATGACGACTATCAATCCGCCTTGTTCATGTAGTACTACTTCAATCTCGGATTTCTCAAAATCTTTTAGTACTTCTTTTTGTTCAGTTAGCAAACAAGCTAAGTTCTCCGTTGATTTTTTTGCTCAAAGCATCGGCCATGGTATTAGCTTTACCCAGTTGATACTAAATTTGAATATCATAGTCTTTTATCAGTTTAAGCACACTTCTCTATCGCATGTTCAATTCTTTTTGGGTAAAGAAGTACTTCAAGCTTTTGTGATCGGTATAAACTTCGTATTTTGCCCCATACAAGTAATGCCATCAAATTTTCAAGGCAAACACAACTACGGTGAACTCCAGGTCATGCGTCGGGTAGTTCTTTTCATGTGGTCTCAATTGTCTGGTGGCATAGGCAATTTCTCTTCCATTATGCATTAACACACAACCCAGACCCTTGTAAGAAGCATCACTAAATATCACAAAATTTTCCATACCTGAAGGCAATGTCACACTGGTGCAGTAGTCAATCTCATTTTCACTTGGAAGGCAAATTCCTTTTCATCATTCCATTCAAACGGTTGCTCTTTTCGAGTTAGTTGGGTAAGCGGTATAGCTATTTTTTAAAAATCTTTTATAAACCATTTGTAGTACCCAGCTAAGCCCATAAAACTGTAGACTTCCATTACATTTGTCAGTGTAGGCCAATTCACAATTGCCTCTACCTTCTGTATGTCTAAAATAGAAATCCCAACTCGATTGATGACATGCCCTAAGAAGACAACATCATCCAACCATTCACATTTCTTTAGTTTAGTAAATAATTTATTTTCTCTAAATGTTTGCAAGACAGTTCTTAGATGGTGTTCATGTTCAATTCTACTCTTTGATATATCAGAATGTCATCAATAAAAATCACAACAAACTCATCAAGGTAGGATTTAAAAATTCAGTTCATAAGATCCATAAATGTTGCAGGTGCATTAGTCACCCCAAATGGCATAATAAAAAATTCATATTGTCTATACCTTTTTTCTGAATGCGGTTTTCTCAACATCTTCTGCTTTCACCTTCAACTGGTGATACCCGGAGCTAAAATTAATTTTTGAAAATACTTGTGATCCCTGCAACTGATCAAACAAATCGTCAATACGGGGCAAATAGTGTTAATTTTTTATCGTTACCTTGTTTAAGTACCAGTAGTCAATGCACAAATGTAAAGTCCCATCTTTCTTCTTTACAAGTAAAACTGGTGCACCCTATGGCGAAGTGCTTCGCCGGATAAATCCTTTATCAAGCAAGTCTTGCAATTGTTTTTTCAATTCTTTCATTTCAACAGTAGACATTCTATAGGGAGTTTTTTAGATGGGTTGGCTGCCTGGTGCAACATCAATAGTAAACTCTATTTCTCTGTCAACCAATTCTCCTAGCAGTTCATCAGGAAATACATCCGAAAATTTTCTAACAACATGAATACTATCCATTTCAACAGTCATAGATTGCTCAGTCAAGATACTACACAAGTAACCCTGACACCCCTTCCTAAGTAGTTTACATGCTTTCATTGCTAAAATTAGATAAGGTGGAGGCATTACACCATTACCAACAAATTCAAATTCATCATGCCCTGGCAGTCTAAACATAACTCGTTTTGTTACACAGTTAATGGTGGCATAGTATTTAGACAACCAATCCATGCCCAAAATTAAATCAAAGTATCTAATGTCCAAGGGTAACAAATCCACATATAAAGTAGCACAACCAACATGCATATCACAAATACGATGCACAGATGTACATAACATAGATTCCCCTGATGGAGCAGACACACACAATTGATATTGTAATGCTTCTAGTGGTCTATTCAATCTAGATGCAAATGTAGTAGACACGAAGGAATGTGTTGATCCGAAATTAATTAATACAAAAGCATCTTGATTACATATAGAAATAGTACCTAAGATAACGACTTCTGTATTTCGCGTGTCACCTGGGACGAGTGTAAAGACTCTCATTTATCTCATTGTGTCTTTGGTACTAGTAGGCCTCATGGTATTCCCCAGTTTTGGGATGGACCTGGTCGAACTAGCAGCCGGTTTTCCACCTCTTTGTTGCTCAATTTGGGTACAATCCCTTGCCATAAGTCCTATTTTACCACATTGGAAGCAAGCCCTGAAGATACAGTAACAAACCCCATGATGTTTCTTACCACACTAATTACATGTTGGTGTCGCATCTCTGGTGGAGTCTGAAGTGCTTGAGGATCCTATATTCCACTTTTTCGATGATCCCTTTTAGAAAAATCCCTGTCTCTTATTTTTCCAGTCAGTTGGTGGTTTACTCTGATTGGCCATATTAGTTTCTGATATTAAAGCCTGGTCTAACACATCAACGTAAGTAGGCAATTTCAATACATTCACTCTTTCTTGAATATCATTGTGGAGACAGCTCTCAAATTTTCTTGCCTTCTTATAGTCGATGCCGACCATATATGGTGCGAACCTGTCCAATTTTGTAAACTTTGCCTCATATTCTGCCACAGTCATATTGCCTTGTTTAAGCTCCTCAAATTCAGACACTTTTCTATCACGGGCACATTGCAAAAAGTATTTATCATAAAAGAGCTCAACAAATTGTGTCCAGTCTATGCCCTTGTTGTCATCACGAATCAACATCCACCACCTTCTTGTTGCATCTTCCAGTGCAAAGGTGCCCAACTGTACTTTCTGTGCTTGAAGAGATTGAAACACTTTAAACAGTTTCTCAATACCAAGGACCTAAGCCTCAGCCTTCAATAGATCTACTCCCCTGTGAAATAGTGGTGGTTTCATTTTCTTAAACTTTTTGGTAAGAGCTATTATTTTGTCATCACTTTGCAAGTCTTGTACAAGTTGTACCAAAGGTAGAGGTGGCAATTATTGCCACTGTTGTTGCCATTGCTATTGTTGCCTCAATGTTTCTGCCATGTCCTGTATCAACCTTTCCATTCTATCCAGTTTATCAATAGAGGATTCCTCAATCTCCTCGGCTCTCGTTCTCACCATTATCTGATGAGACTTGCATTATATTTCATACAAAACCCATGTACACAATATTCATAGACAGAAAGAGCACACATATACGGATAGGCAACATTTCATATATCATGTAGTCACATATTTTAGAACACTTTAAAAATGCTTAAGGCATTCAAGCATATATTTATCAGATGAATGCAACTTAAGTCTTTTCTAGACACTCTATTGCCCATTTGGACAAGTGTGTGAGTTATTACTCGTGCTCTAATACCACTCTGTCATGACCTAAACCTGCCCCAATAGATTAGGATCGTAACCGGCCAGTAATCATGAGATTACTTACGACCTCAGACCGAAATCCATTAAAAAAAATTAACAATACGGGGCCAGATACGAAAGCGGAACTTTAAATTTTGTCCAATGAGCTATACATACATGGCATAACAAAACTTTTCACACATGTATATAATAACTCACACAATAGATAATTACAGAGTTTGTGTTTCCAGGACCATCCAAACATTTCTTCACATGTAGCTTAAAGCTTACAATACCTACATATATGGTCAAGCGACCAACAAAAGAAATAAGAAGTCAAAAGATGAAAGGAATAAAACCAAAGCCTCTTGCGTGAGGCGTCTTGGGCAAACTCCACAAAACTGGGTACTCTTTCACAATGTCACTAAGGCTGGGACTGGACATTCCGCTGCTCGCCTACATACATATAGATAAAGAGTGAGATAATGCCCAGTGAATAACACCAGAGTAAAGAGGTTATATGAATGAGACTGTTAAATAAGTAAATCAGACTCATGAGTAACACATATTGATCATTACCAAAATAGAATGCTCTTAGGTCCATTCCTTATGCTCAAGGCGTATCAAAAGGGAAAAACAACCTTAGGTCCAAACATTATTCATATTCTTGTTCAAGATCATATTCACATTTAATGGATCCATACACAAATGACCATCCGGTGGTCCTTCACATCACATGTATAAAACGACCTTAGGTCCATTATTTCCATATTCATATTCACGCGCGTGGTTATAATCATGATCATGTTCACATTTGTACTCGTATTTTCATTCAAAATGACCTTTGGTCCATAGTCACAATCATGTCCTCATGCATATTCATCTTCAAAATGACCTTTGGTCCAATCAATTCCTTAATCAATATGACCTTTGGCCCACTTAGTAAACATATAAAAAAAACCTTCGGTCCATTTCATATGTAAGATGACCTTAGGTCTATGCTGCCAAACATTCTAAATGCCCTTAAACCCATTCTGTGTTCTTATCAAATATACCAAACGGCCTCAGGCTTATTTCATATTCTCATCAAACATACCAAACGGCCTTAGGCCCATTTTATATTTGTACAAAACGACCTTCAGTCCAATCTTATAGGTTCGTGGTTATCAATCACTTTTTCATGCCATTTATGAATCAGATAGGTAGAATACTCATTCACAATACAAATTCATGAGTTCAGAAAGCTTACCACATAGGTAGTATTTAAAAAGTAATATATATGAAAATATCTTTACTAAGATATTACTCACAGTTTTCAATTGGCTGATTCATCCTCAGAGCTGACCCTACACAATTCGTAACAAATACAAAAATTGGGTTATAATACAATTCAATATGATCTCAAATTTGCTTATCTTTCCTTAGGCTTCTTTCTAACTCTTTAGTTCATTTAGGATGCTCAATGTGTGCCTAAGAATGCTTAGAAATTAAAAAGAATGGAAATCGGAACATAACCTTTTCAAAGTTTCCTGAAACAGGGTACTTTGCTTAAGTGCAACATTGGCCACTCAAGACACCTTGCTCTGCAAAAGTACTAGATGATCTCATTTTACGCTTGAACTAATTCTTGGTCGCTCGAGCCAAGATTGAAGATAAAGGGTGGCCATTCAAGTAGTCTTTTGGTCTCTCGAGCCTACCTCCAATGTCTCTAAAAGTACTGAGAGCTTGAAATGTACGCTTGAGCAACAATTCCATTACTCAAGCGAACTACTCAAATTTTGGAATTTCTAGAATTCTGTTTGAGCTTCAAAACACAACTCCAAGGCTCCAAATTCAAATGTGACATACTCTTGACTTCATATACTCATTACTAAACAGAAATATTAGCTCAAACTACACAAATCAAAGTCCAACGTATGGAATTCACTATTCACGTCCCATTTCGGTCTAATTTCTTTTCTAAGACTTTATATACATGAAATTCTAGTTCATAGCCTCATGAATTATGCATGCACGATCAAAATGACATTTCTTTTGATTTAACAAACATAGATTGCACTCTAAAATGAGATTTCACAATGATCTCTTACATGAATGGATGAATTAATCTTCAATTATTCATTCTAGACTCAATTCATGCATTGCATTTCATTATCTTCTTGAATTCATGTAGTTATGAACTTAAACTCACAAATTATGTTTCAAAAACTCACCTAGAGCCTTGTTTATGGCTTGATTATGGAAACTCTTAACTCTTTCTCCTTGATTCTTGAATTCCCTAATCAATTCTTTTCAAGATTGAGTCCCTCTCTCTAGAACTCACCCTTCTCTCTCTACATGCTCTCCTCCAGCAAGTTTGAAGGGAAGAGCTCAATTATATAAGCCTAAACACTAGTTAGTCATATATAAAGTAGGTGATTCGCTTAGGTTAATTAAGTTTGATTTAGACTAAACAATTCTACTTGATTCTAATCAATTTAATCAAATTATTTTGATCCAAATCAATTTTTAATTAAAGTTCACTGTATGCTTTAAAAATTATGTTAATCACAATAGTACAGTCAATTTTGGTTTCTGTGGCCACTACGACTCTTAATTTTAGTCAATTACAGAATACCGAACAGATTTTCCTACAATGAATAGATATGAATTCAAAATCATACATAATCACATGATTAGCATCCAAAATCACATTAAGCACATGATCACAAGTCTAAATAAGACTTAGCAACATAACACAAAGCGGGGTTATCACAGGCATAAGCCTTTTGGGGCATCCAAATTTTCTAAAGGAAAAGAGTTATAGATGCTTCAAGGATGGGCTTGGGCCAAAACTGTGGTCCAAGTTGGTTATGCAAAAATTGCCACACGTTGTAGACGTCCCCGAACGCCCCGGGAGGATGAGTCCCGTTCTGTTCATTTGGGCTCCCTACAATTCGGACTCTCGAATTGTCACGGTTCCTAATCTGAACCAAAGAGTCCAAATCCGGAAAATCGTTTTGAGAAAAACAGATTTTTTGAAAGAAGTGCCAAACATGGACTGCTTTGCCAGATACAGAGTCGCCACCTAAATATTTTTAATGGGGAAATTTAGGAAACCCTGACTCGGTGCCAAAGGCCACGTGTCCGTCATTGCCAAAGTTGCCTCGGCTCGGGAGCTTGGGTACGATTGGGGAAGGTCAGCTATGAGCAGCCCCTCTCGCCCGATCCAAAGATCGGCCTTTACTAACCGTGATATCTAGTTTTGAAAACCTTATGTGTTCTTATTCCATTTATCAGCCTAGAATTACTATGTTATGCGCACAGCACACAAGTATAGACTAAATCGCCTAATTTGGAAATAAGCATTGCATATCCGTTTGTTTTGAAAAACATTTTGGAATTTGCTACTCGCAAGTAGGCTAAAACATGGTTTTCAATGAGCTTATTCCAACTCAGGCAATCCGACCTTCACCCACAGGCATCCAAGCAGTTTATCACATAAGCATCTAGCCACATGGTAAGCATGCTGTCATGATAGCATTCACACTCATGCGAGATGCTAAAGCAGGAAAATACTTACATAGTACTCCGTGCCAAAACAATAAACTAGTTACCAAACATGCATGGTCCTAGTTCATGTCAAATTGACTAATGCAGCACATACAGGATGTAATCAGAGTAGGCTCGGCTAACCTAAGGATGGCATGTGAAATGCAGCCAATCAATTGATGCATGTATTCAATTTGGAATTGAAGTACAAATACAGTTAGCGTGATGTACCGAGCCTGATGCATGGAATACAAATGCATGAATGCACGCATGCATAGCATAAGGTGTGCTAATTCAAATATGCCCTAGTCTACCATCATAAGCAGGTAAATAAAAGGGAAGAAAGAAGTGGGGATTGGAAGACATGTACACACACGTACCCACACTTATTACAGATTTTGCCCTCGCTCGGGGGGGGGGGGACCGAATAAATATTACAAATTAACTAACTCGCGAGCTAATTAATTATTACAAATTGCCTAATTAGTTAACAAACCAACTAAGCTAGGAAAAACAGTAAACCGCCTCGAGAAAAGAGCCTAATGCAATGCGTGCTCGGGTCTTCCTCGGAAGTGTACTGCCATGCATAGGCTGCCTCTGTTTTCCTTTCTTTACTCCTCTAGAGGCTGCCAAAACCTCATGATTGCTTCCCTGAACATTGGGAGACACCACCGGCTGAATATAATGGCCACCGGCAGTGGTATGAGATCACCGACTGTGAATGCATCCATCGGCCATGGAGAGATTGCCGGTCGGCACATAGCACTGCCGGTCGGCAGAAAGTTTCTGCAGAATCTGCAATTGATAACAACAGAGGGCAAGGCAGAGCATGGCAATACAATTCAAGCAATGTATGAACCAATCATGTCCCTTATCATGGTAATGACTCAAAGGAACATGCTCCTCGGTTCTCGGACCATCAATCGCGCATTTCCATGCGTGATGGCTCAAGGGACCAAGTGTGCACATTTGATGTCAAATGCAATGCAATGCAACAAACCAAAGCCCAATTCCTATCACTAGATCAAGGAACAAGACATGCATGCTAGATGCAATGCAACCTAGGCATGCAAGCTAAGGATGCAACATGGGAATGCGAGGTGCACATGCAAGCATGCAAACAAACATACACGCAAGCAAACAAATAATGGACTTAAACATGATTTGGGCAGCTCTAATAAGGCCTAAAACAGTGGTCAAAGTGACCAAAATAAAGGAATAAATACACATACACACATGCACATGTTAAAGGGCCAACACTTAGGCACAAATGAGGCAACTCTCAAGCACATTTGAATGAGGCAATCATGGACATATGGCATGCAAGGTAAGCATTGGAACTCATGTTAAGATGGTGTCAAACCAAGCAAACAAAATAGACCAAGCATGCAATGAATGGCCCAAGTACTTGAAGCAAGTCAAAGGGACTTGAACCATGGTTAAGCCAACCAAGCCTCACAAGGCTAAGAGGACTTAAAATAGATTCAAGGCAGACCTAGACCATGCAAAGGGGACTCTTAGATGGCATCTAAGTGGCTCAAATTCAAAGGCATGCACAAATGCCAAAACATGGAGCATGCTACACAAGCTTTCAAAGCATTAAAGAGACATCCAAGGCAAGCATATAGGCATGCAAAGGGGACTGAAATGACATGGTGGATAGTTCTAAATCACTAAATCAATGCAAAAATGTCACGCTATACATTCACACACTTAAGGCCAACAAGCCGGAATGCAAAGGGGCTATACTAAGCATGCCGAATCCGACCCAAACAACCTAGGACAGACCTTAAACATGGCAAAATATGCACAAAAGCTTCACAAGACTAAGCCTAAAACATGCTTGAACAAGGGTTTACAACCTAAGGCATGTTAAGGCAACAAAGTGGCATTACAAGGTAGGTATGCTAAGCATGCATGGTGTACCAAAACCAAGTAAAAACAAAAGCATATTATGACATATTAAGCACAAAAAACAACTAAGGCATGGTCAACATGAAGCTTAGCTAGGTGCTCCCTCAAGAGGCCAAAAATGGTCCTTTTCAAGGACAACAAGGAGAGGGGGTGGCCCTCTCCTCCCTAGGACCTCAAGGCACCATCCTCACCTCTGAAATCCCTCAGATTTCAGTGGTGAGGAGGCCCAAACACCAAGGTCCCGGAGCTCACTCAAAATGGCTCAAAATGGGCCTTTCAAGGCCTAAGAGGGGTCAAACACCCTCAAACCACAAAACACTCTAAACAAACTATTTAGAGGCCTAAAAACAGAACTTTTTTATGTTATACACTAAGCACAAAAACAGTTCTAAGATAGAAAAAAAAGTATGCAAGAATGGGGAATAAAGGGACTAGTTTCTTACCCTTGAAGACCCCTCAACAATGGTGGGGACCAGCAGCTTCTTTTAGGTTGAAACCAGCTTCAAAACCTTAAAAACAACCCTCAAGAGGTCTCAGCTCCAAGGGATGGTGTAATGGTGGGCTGCTTATGAGCAAAAGTGAGACAAAACACACACACTAAGGCTAAAATGAGAGAAGAGGTATAGAGATAGAATATATATCAAACCCTAAACCTAAAACCAGAGCTCTCACAATGTTTTTCTCTCTCAAGTGTCTAACCTAGTGCCAAGAGAGGAGGGCTCCTCTTATAGAGGAGCCAATCTTGTAAAGCTTACAAGGTAAGCTAACAAGGAGTGCATCCCTCCATACACGTGTATGGAGGGGAACAAAATGACATACATTGTCTTAAAATATCTGTAAAAGAGATGAACAGTAGTCGGCTGCTCAAAAAAACAATTGACCAAAAAAAGGATAGCCGGCCGGCCATCTATAGTGCCGGCCGGCCAAATATTTGGCCGGTAGAAGCAAAACACAGCCGGTGGCCTCTGGCCATGGCCGGTGATGTGTGGGGATGGCCATCTAGCCACTCCCTGCCCCTCCAAGGCAAAACACAAGTGTTTGGTGCAAAACCAATCACTAAACAGTCGAGTTCGGAGATCCTGAGGCAAGGCGCGTAGCCGAGACCTTCGGGAATTCCAAACGAACACAAACATGGATGATCACCGGGTGTTCAAACGGTGACGTCCAAGTCTTGAGGACGGTCAAAAATGGGGTGTCTACAGTTGCCCCTCTTTGACAGAACTTGAAAGTCATAACAATGACGGGAGTGAATGTCAAAGCCCAGAGACGACCCATTTTTGACAAGGCCGAAGCCTTAGACAAACATGCAC